TATTTAAAGCAATACATTATTATTACTGATCCTGTTTGACACATTTTGCTTTATTTCTAGCATTATGACTGGATTCCCTACAAACTTTGCATATATATTTTCATTTGCTTGTATTTTCGCCTATATCATCAAGTGCCATATGATCATTATCTTGTCCATGATTGCTAACATCATAGGTGTGTAAAGCGATTCTTGATGAAGATTGTAAATTAGGATCAGGTGGATTAAGAGCACTAATTTTAGTGCTAAGGTGTGCATTTTCTAATGCTGATTTGATACGTTTATGTGGTGGATGTTCACACCATTTTCAAACTAAAGGATCAGACACGTTCAAATTTTCTTTATTTTCATCATTCATATCATCAATATCATTTTTCTTACGATTGATGAATCCATTAACCATATCAATAAATTCAGTTTCACAACCTAAATCCAGCACCAAATTAAGAGCTTTTTTTATCTTTCCAAATCTATATGCATATTTTTCTTTTCTTTGTACGCATTGTTTAACATCAGCTGTGAATATATCTGGTGTTCTAAGCTGATTAAGAATATGTAAATCGGCTACTAATAATTCGTGATTACCATTACTATCTTGTTGGAATTGTATTTCTATTTCCATACATTCATATTGCAAATTATTTTGATCATCTCTATCTTGAATATCTTTTAGATACCATCGTTTTGCAATAAGATGTGTGTTAAATTTTACGACCTTAGAATTCATCATCACATAGAAAAAATGCGAACATACAAGTCCGCGATTAATTATAGCCAAACATGTACATAAATGACCACTATCTATCAGTAAAATAACATAATGCTTATATGATTTGGTAAGACCGGTAAGTTCCCAAATTTCTATGATATCAGATAACTGGATTCTTTCCAATAGGAAAAAAATGGATGTTTGCGGCCTATCTAATTGATCTTTGAGGAATCCATCACTATAGTTGTACTAATCGTTATCCTAATGAAAAATTTGTAAGTGTCAAATTTTCCTATCTTCTAATTTTTTAATCCTGTCCTTAACATCTTTTTCGCTTTTAATATAACTTACCTTTGTAATATCGATTGCTTCTTTCAAAACAATTTTAGCACAGTATAATAAAGACCTAAGAATTTGTTGATGTTAGACTGATAGGATATGCGAAGTTAGATAACGTTTCATTAATTTATTAATATTAGAAAATATGGGATTGATAATTAATAGTGCCTGGTTGGTTGGAAGACTATGAAGATATGTATTATACCGAGCCCATTTTGCTTCATCATCTAATAATCTTTATGTTTGATCATGTAAGTTATATAGCGAAGATGAACTATTAGCACCTTTTTTAATCAAACAGTTCATAACTTCAACCCTTTGTGTGCTTTGAATGCCAACTGTAAAGTCTTTGAATTGATAACACCTGGTCTATAACTGATAAGAAGTATTTAAAGTTCTATTAAGATAATTTTGAGCCAAAAGATACTTTTCGATTAATCGTGTCCAACGATAATAAAAATCATCCTCAAATAAACTGTTTCAAGCATGTAAAAAATCTTTATAAAAAGATTTGTAATCTTGTCCTAATTTGCTTGCAAAATTTTTTCGTAGGTTTTCTTGTATATGAAAAATACAAAGAAAGTGGTGAGTATTAGGTATCTTCGATGCCACTGCCTTCATTAAAGCAGGATCAGAATCTGAAAATAAACAAGTAGGTAGAATATGATTAGTTGCATGAAGAATACAGTCAAGAAACCATTCATAGCTTTCAACTATTTCATCTTTTGACAAACATTAAGCAACAAGACGACTTTTAGTGTTATTATTCACAACAATTAGTATTGTTAAATACATGTCAAACCAGTTAGTTTGATACGTATTATTCGTTTGTACCATATCATTATAGCGTATAAGATATTGATTCTGACTAGGTGACATCTAAAACAGACTTACAAGTCGGTTATTAAAAGGATCAATTCTTGTGTGAATGATCCATCTGGGTTCTTGATCTTTTAAATTAAGTAACGTATTGATCATATTTTGTGCATCTCTATGTTGGTTAGTAAATGGGGCTTTAAACCTTTGAATTGCATTGTGAAGATTCCTTTTATGAATATATTGATCCAGAAAACTTGCAACCAATAAGGGATATATTTGTTTTAAATCTATATTTCCTTTGGTAACATAGAATTTGATCCTTTCTATTATATCATCTGAAAGACAACGGTACTTAGGAGCATATAAATATGTGTCAGGTATCATAAGATGATTATGTTATCCAATGATGCTATTAACTCTTATTTTTGATAATGATTTCAGATTTGTAATATTAATGTACCATAGGCACATTATTTTTCTGGATGGACGCTGCCGTTGGTGATTTATATCAATCATCTGATTAGAATTGGTATACCAGAAAAACTGCATTTAAATGTATGACATTGAACTATCCCATCATTATCAAGCTCAACGCACTTCTGACGTATAGAAAATCCTGCTGTTTTTGCATATAGATTGAGCTTTATGTCTACCTCATCCCATGAAGAAAAAGTATCACCAACATTAATTTGTACTTCATTTTCAATTTCTTTTCTAGAAGTATCAGATTCTCTGACAAGAATAACAGAACCTCTGGTATCAGAATCATCCTCAAAAGCAACCGAACCTTCAGCAAATGTAGCATTAGAATCCTTTGCAAAGGATATAGAACCTTCAGCAAAGGCAACAGAGCTATTAGAATTTCCAACGAAGGCAACAGAATCTTTCGTAAAAGCAGCAGACTCTTTTTTTTTTGCTTAAATAAGTTTGATTGTCTTCGATAAAAAAAAAACCATAAATCATAAATTTCTATACAAAAGTCATAAGAAACAGCAAGATTTATAAAAGTTTACATTTACCATCCATAGTGGTAAAAGATGTAAATTAAAGACAAAGAATAAGGAAAAAAAAGGCTTAAAATTTAGAAATCCACGTCAAAGCAACTTTTTAAAGAAGTTCCTTCTTCTTAAATTAGTTTTTCTGTTATCATTAATACAAAAAGAATGTATGTTAAATTTGCAAAAGAAAAGTGAGTGAAAGAGCAGCAAATATGTAACACTAGCAAATATGTAACACTTTTTTTTTATTTGTCTAATATTGTATCATGTGTCATATATGCGATGTCACATAAATATTATTGTTACGTGATACTGGTGATGATCACCTCCAGTGATTTTAAGTAAATACCTTTTTTTTATATAATTCAGATTAGAATTTGTATAAAGTTTATATGTAAATTTCAACAAAAATTATGTATTATAAGAGATTTTTTAAATTTTATTTTCATATATATCTTAAGTTTTAAGCTAATTAATAATTGGATTTAGATAATTTTGATATCAATGAAATCATTTCAATAAGAGAAATCTAATAATAGTAAAATTATATTTTTAATATTAATATTAACTAAGTTATTGTAAAAGCACATTTATTATACATTATTTGTAAGTTAAATAAAAGATATTTGAAGTTTTATTTTTTGTATCTTAAAGCATAAAAGAAGTATTTAAAAAAAAATTTCATTCTATATTCTATTCTTTTTTTGTATTTTACAAAAAAATATTTAAAAAAAATGTTATTTTATATCTTACTTTTTTTTTTTTATTTTACAAGTGTAAAAGAAGTATTTAAAGAAAACTTTATTCTGTATTTTATTCAAATTATAATAAAATAAGTCCAATCATTCTAATTTAAATTTAATCTTATTATCTAATAAAAATAATTAGGATCATATAATAGTTTGTGAAAGATCATGTTAGTGATACGAGAGATTTCCCTTAATAACTGTTTGAGTTGATTCTTGACTGTATATGATTGTTTTGGAACGGTTTGAACTTTGTAGGCCAAGGCATTAGAGATGCTAATGATGCAACGTCCAGATGAAATGGTCTGTTTATTGAGGAGACAACTGGGGCATTTGATAAGCTGGCAAATATTATTATGGATGATATTGTGGTTGAAATGGTAACAGATGAGATGGCTACTGTTAGAAACATTGGCTATAATTTTTCTGAAAGTTAGACCATTGTGCGTTGTGTTCCAGGTTGATACTATTTCTTTTGTTTGACTACTTAAGGTAGGCACTTGAAAAACAGTTTTGTAACATGATAAGGGGAAGCTAGTTTGAATTCTGGTTTGATCAATCTATGTACGTGACTTTCTAAAACAATGTTGTCTAATCTATAGAAAAAATCAGATGAA